TTAAGCAGTCTGGATAGGAAATACAGCATAATTTTCATCTTCCCATCTCTTCCTCCAATGTCCTACATGGAGCAGGAAAGTCATCAACTCCAGGTATCAGGAGGGGACAAATAAAAAGCCCAACCAAAACCAAAAAACCCCAACCCCCTCAACCCAACCAGAAGCAGCAAACAAACTGAAAAAAAGTAGTTCTCTGTCCCATGCTGAGACTTTACATGAAATGAAAAGTTCTAAAGCCTTCCTCTGACATCTGCTCAGCCTTCTTCACTGCAAAGCTTCTTCCAGTTGCTGGTTAAGTAGCAGTCAGCCCTTGAGTTTAAGTAGTAATGGCTACTGCACTAAATGGGCTTCCCAGTTCAAATCCCAGTCATGAAGAAGCCAGCAATTACAACTGCTTAATCTCAGTTTCTTTTGCTTTTGCCACTTAAATGCACATCAGGAAGTTCATATCCAAATAACCTTTAGAAACAAAATTATTAAGAAGTCCAACAGTTCAGAGTTAGGAACAGTGGGACAGAGGTTGTAGCTACACATTCAATGCATACCTTATAGAAGGGTGATGATGGTGCCATCCTTGCTCTTGTGACCACATGGCACTTTCACATCCCCAGGCAGCATGCCTGCAGGGACAGGATAACCACGTGCTACTCAATCCATTGGAAATTTGGCATTTTCCAAGTGTTCTACTTCCATGACCTAAATCGTATCTCTAATGTACTTTTGACTACAATAAGAAATCACACTGAGAAACTTCATCCTAAGAATGCAGCCTCATTGAGTATATCACTAAGCTAATCCCTCCTCAGCAGGGAGACATGGAATAGGCAATCCGTCCATCGATCCCTCTGAGCTGCAACAACTAATCCATTGTACTGGTATAGTGATACCAAAAGTGACCGTCTGATGTTGCCAAAAGCAGGCACTTCCCCAAATCCTTAAGCTGCACTAATTCTGTAGGGAAGGTGCAGCCATCACTAGAGATTCATGCAGTTATGGCTTTTTTTTTGCATGCATTTCACCACATACATCTGTAGGTGCTGACTGAGCTAGAGGAGGTTTTACTTTTCCCCTAATCCCTAAAGCAGAAAGATTGCCCTAAGGAAGCCAAAGCAACTTCCTCTAGTTGACGGCAGGGGCATCTGCACCATGTCAACTAGACAACAGCTGCACGTGCATTTCTAGGCCAGACTAAAGACAATAAAAATAGGTAGAGTGGGGAGAAAGATCTGCTGGCCAAATACCTACAGCAGAATAGCCACAGAGGCTTTTTCTGCACTCTGTTCTCACCACCAAACTTAGAGCATCCCACCTTTTTGACACTGCACACGTGCAAAGATCTGCCTCTGAAAAATAATAAATGTCCTCTTCTGCCTTCTGTACTCGCCATATAGTTATGCTTGGAACATTAGTTCTCAGTCTGTTCAAGAAGAGAGGATTGTTGTCCATAAGGACATTTGAAAGCCACTGGGCAGTTTTTTGGCTAAGCACCCTTGTATGAGCCATTCTGCTTGTGTTCCCCTCATAGAAAAGGGGTCTCCCTATTTCACTAATTACATCTGTTGCAACATCTGCCATTAGTCTGCAAACAACTACGGCATGCAGTCTGTTGTAATTCAATAAACTTACTGTTACAAACACCTGTAAATGTTTACAACTGTCAAATCCACTGCTTACAAAAGGACAAAGCAAAATTCCGTATCTAAACACCCCCAAGTCCTAGAGGGAAACAACACTGGATCTTAATGTCAGGCAAGCACACATCTCTCTCATGGGCAGAGCCAAAATGTAAGGTCTGAACACCCTTCTCTCTCCCACCAACCCTTTAGTCTTAGGAAATGCAAATTATTGCCATAGTCTTTTGTTCTTTCTCCTGTTTTTACTTGTATAAGAAAAGCAAGTTTCTGATGGTATTAAGTGCCTCAGATAATGAGAACAAAAACAGAGCCTACTTTGAAGGACAAATACTTTCCAGCTGCCTTCATCCAAACACTACACGGAGCCTGTACCAAAGTTAGCTCTTGTTGTGCACTTCCCATTATCAGTGTTCTACAGCAAGGACATTCAATTAGGTTGCTCAAAAGAAACAGAAGTGCTTACATATAGTCTCTTCCTCTGTTTATCAGGGACCTCAGATCCTCTACAATGTCCAAGTGATTTCCACTTTCCCAGAACCCACACAAGGCATAAAGAAAAGGTGCAAACTTACCTCTAGAATTTCTCCCACCTCTGCTGCTTTGGAGTGACTTTGTCTGGTTTGGTTAAGACTTGAATTACACACACACACATATTTTCCTTCCTCATTTACCTGGATTTCTCCTCCACATCTTGAATTCCATTACAGAAAATTGGCCGTTTCTCAGACAAGCACCAAGCTTTACTTTTGTATGAAAAAGTCAAACAAGAACACAGTCACCTCTTCCAGCAGCACACAGAGCAGTCTGTGCCAAACTGTAGGTATTTCAGGTCCTTCAGAGAGAAATGCCATGTTTAAGAGTCACCTCCTTTCTAAAAGGAGGACCTGCAACACAAATTTAAGATCACACCTACAGTAGCATCAGATGGAAACAGACACAGCACAGCAATAGAAGTGACCTGTGAACAGGGAGGAGGAGGAGGTCTTCCTTCACATCACCTCTGCCCAGAGCAGGATGTTCAGTCAAGCATCATTCCCAAACAACCTCTGCCTAGACTCGAGCATGAGAGATTATAAACTCACTAATACTCTGCCAGAAAAGCCCTTACCTAGTGAAAGGCTGGCATTAGACTACCAGCAGTTGAAATCCATTCAACTAAGAGCAACACTATCAGTAAACAAACAAAAGGCCAGGAGGGAAACGTGAGATTTCTCCCCTTATACTTTCCAGAAATGTACCAGAAATCCTCATATCAGAGGAGGTGAAGGAAATAACTGTGAGACCAGGAATAGCTCCACACTGTAAAAACAAGGCTCAGCAGCAGCTCGTCTTTGCCACGTAACACATAATGAGACAGACAGGAGCTCATTTTCTTTGGTCATATTTCAGATTTCCTGCAAGAAGAAAAAGGTTTGCACAGGGACATACATTATCAACTAGGTCATACTTCTCCCCACAACTCAAAGCAATCTTTTGAAGTTATTGGGCAATTTTAACTCCAGTTTATGAAGAGAGGGGTCTCAAAATTGCTTAGTTCTTTAAAGGTCTGCATAAACAGGATTGGAGAGCGATTCTTAGCAGTGCCCCAAGCAAACTAAAAAGACTGAAGCATTTCATCCCTGTCAGGCATGAGGGAGGCTGCAAAGCCCTCAAGATCCACAAGAAAGCAAGCTTCACTGGATTTTCAAGAAATTTATTATTATTCTAAGTGAAGGCAGGCTGAAGAAGGAAACACAGCACACTATTCCTGGCTTTTGCAGAATGGTACTGCAGCATCACAGCTTATGTTTCTCTTCTAAAAATGTGGTTTATCAACCAGCTAGCCTCTTCCCACATCAATGCCATAACTTTCCCAGTCACCACTTCCTTATACCTGGAAATTGTGTCCTCAACTGCAGCTTTACCTGTTCATCCAGTGACGATCTGCTGACTGTATTTCCTATAGCTCTGACAGACATCTATTAGAGACAAACTTGCCCCGTAAGAATAAACCTGTGTGAGCTGACCAGAGACAACCCCAGAGCCGCAGCTAACACCATGTTTTCCAGAAGAGCCACAAGATACAAATGTTGTTTCAAAAGTTCTTTTGAACATCCCTGGAAAGTGTAAGTAAAATATTTTTTCACTCCACAAACACACCATCCAATGTTTTACTCTTCCCAAAGCTGTGTTTTGCTGAAGTGGCAGTGAGCTTTAATGAACTATTTCAATTTTGGGTACACCTACAGGATGAGATCATAGTGTGGGTGATGTAAACTCTAATCCAGCTAAAGACTGAGGCAAAAGTCACAGCACCACTGCTAACCCAAGCTGCAGCCTAAGAGCAGAAATTCTGAGGTCTCTAAACCACTGCACTATTGTGCAGTGTAATTTCCTTGCTACCTTCTCTACCTCGGGCAGCACAGGCACACCATCCCATGCCAGGCACAAGATCACTGCAGTGGCACATTTTGCTGTGCCAGCCCTGTTTGAGAATCCCAAGCTACTGCACCACTACAAAACTGCAGTTAATGCCAAATAGCGATGTCTCCTCTGTTGCCAGATGTACTGTAACTAATTGCCTTGTTCCCCACAGATAAGTTATCTGTATTCACACACACAGGAGGAGCACTCAAAATATATGAGGCTAAACTCACCCAGAGACATTAAAGTGATACAGGAGGGAACAGCATTTAAGCTAAAACAGCAATCCAAAGTCTAACTGTTTTAAAGGTTCCGTGGACTTGTTCATGGGCTTTTAATGAATTCACCTCAAATGTGTTTTTCAAATCAAAGACTATGTGAAAAGTAATCTTTAACATCTTACACTTTTACCAAAATGAAGATATATTAATATAAGTTAGAACAAGCTCCCCAGGCCCCATTACATCAATAGAATGATTCTCACCTTACTCTTCACCTACACACTTAGAAGTTGATCAGCTGCTAGCAAGCTTCTGCCTAACATTTGAGCATAAAGGAAAAAGGTCACAGAACTCCAGATATACAATTTCCAATTCATCAATTCCCAAGTCATTTCAGAAGCCAACATTTCAAGTTTCTTGCAGAAAGTGGATTTTCGCTTAGCTCGTTTTCTTTTCAAAGACAGGGAAAGACATTTAGCACCCAGAACTCCATTAAATGAGACATTTCCTGTTTTAATTTTCTCTTTAACAGCAGTAAAATGCTTTCGAGTGTCCAAGTGGCACGAAGCTCTACTTGGCACCTTCCAAAATAAACAGAACACTCTTTTGCCACCTATACAGAGAGAAATGCTCATCAACAGCTTGTCACTGTGCTGCGGAAACTCAACCCAGGGAATGAAAGATGGGTTATGTCATTCGGCAGACAGACTCTATGAAAATAACTCTAAAAGAACAGCAAAGATCAGTTCAGGACAAAACATACTTTATTGTACTGTAATGTCAGAAGTACAAGAAAAGTACTGCAGAGAACCATGCTAATGGCGCTTTTAGGGTCTGTGAAGGACAGGAGTACAAGATAATGGGGTACTACTGTACTCAGTGCAAAAACTGATTCATTTGAGGCACAAGTACACTATTGTTTAAGCAGCTTGATTCAAGCACAGCTCTGGTATATGATCTACTCTTTTCTTTCTATGTGACAATTCTATAATAAAGCTACTTTTACATGAAAGAGGCAGTAGATTCAAGTCAGGGGTGTCCAAATTGCCACTTGGCAACTAAAAAATTAAGAAAAATACTCTGCATAGTCACCCTCCCCATTTTAGTTTCAGATATGGAGCAATGGCTAGGGAAGTTATTCTGAAATGTCAGAGCCCAGACCTGTTTGGTTGGGTGGGGTTTGCCCCCCTCCTTTTTCTACGTCTGTGGGTAACTTATTTCATGTTGACCACAACTTATCCAATAAGAAAAAAAACACAACTAACTTGTATCTTGGATAAGAAATCATACATATCTAACATTCAAATAAATTTCAGCCCTTGAGATCTTAACTTATGGCTTAAGACACAAAGAAAGTGTTTGGGCACCCTTGAGTTAAGTTACTGAAGAGCATTTTTGCTAAAAAGGCAAGCAAGATCACTGTTTTAAACAGAGCTGACCTCTACAAGAACAAAGCAGGAATCCAAGTCACTAGTTACTACCAGGCTGACACGTACTGCTGCCCAGAAAGATAAAAATGTAACAACACAACGAAAAGGTTCAACAAAGTTGAAAGATAAAGGTTTCAACACCAGAAGCAGCATTTGAAAACAAGCTGTTTAAGTTAATCTTTTCAAGAGATGCGGATTGCATAACTCTAGGCATGAACAAACGTGCTGGCAATCTTCTCCTTTTACACAGCAGCTGTGTTTAACATAGGAAGTTCTGGGTTTAAAGAAAGCTACTTGAAGAAGAATTAAGATTTGCAATTCCCTGTCTACTTAATAAGATTAGTAGAGAAAACGAAAAAAAAATCACTACTGAAACAGTAGTTTCTCAGTGGATCCCTATCATTACAAACACAGCTGGATTTGTAAGCAACGCAAGACTAAACAGACAGCTATTATTTTATATTATTACTATGCTCATAAGTTACATCAGTTAAAGTTAAAAAAAGCCAAGCAGTTTTGCCCTATTTCAAGAATAGTTTCCAATCAACACCAGTTTACATGGTGAATGGGACTTCACAAATAAACGAGGAATGGAGACATCTTTGGGTCAAGAATGACAAGAAATAATGGGCTCTGTGCTACCAATCAACCTCAACAAGAATATGGCACACGGGCCAGCCCAAGCCGTACCAACACTGAACCTTTAGCACTCAGCACAAATTCGGATCTCTTCACTTTAGCTAGCAAACCAGTTGAAAAGACTGGGTAAAAAACCCAAAAAAAACCTAACTAAAAACTTAAGCCAAAAATTGGAATATACTTTTTAAAAAAAATCTGAAGTTTTAAAATAATTCGATGCTGACATCAGTTTGTGCAAACTAAAAAAAAACCTCATTGAATTTCTCTCTAACAAAAGACAAATCCCCCAAATATTTTCCTTTTAGCCCACTGTATCTGTAGATACGATCTCAAATCTAACAGATGTAAATGAAAGAGAGAAAAAGTTACAGCATCTGCACAACATTCTTTTTACAAACAGCTGCTGGAGGGAAAGTAAAATATAAACGGAATAAAGAAAGGAAGGTTCCATCTGAAATACTCTCACAATCTTTCCCACTCTGTAGTCCATGAATCCGACTCTGATGCTAAGGTGACAGTGTATGTAAGCAGATTTTTTTGTTGATTTTATTATACTTGAGTTTCAATTGAAGAGAACCTGAGAAGAGACTCAGGTCTCTTCAGGAATTGTCAGATGGAACATGCTCCTCAAATCCTTCGCTCTCTCGGACCAATGCTCTTTCCAGGATGACACGGCCCTCCTTGTAGCGCTGGCTGTCTTCAGTGGCAAATTCATAGATCCAACCCAGTTTGCTGTTGCAGTTCTTGCAGCTCACGTCTCGAACCATGTGGCGGCCAGTGAGCATGACCCGATCCTGAACTTCACTGTATTGCAGATTTACCACCTGATACGAACACACAGGGGACAGGGAACAGAAAGGATTAGTCTGCCTAAGGCAAAGCTTCGTAAATGACAATCAACATTTTAAAAGCAGAGAGCCTGTGGCACTGCATGTGAACTGAAAACTGCAGTGATGTAAGTCAACAGCCCTTGAAAATCTCTTTCTTGAGAAAGTAACACTGTGAAGATATGCTTCACAGGGATGTATAACCCTCACTGTTTAACTGAGAGACATGAAATGCTACGACAAGACATACAAAAGGGCAGAGGACTGTTCAAGTTTGCGTGAGAAACTCCTAGTGAATAGCTTGTAAACTAGTTTATATTAATCCAGCTGTAGCATACATAACCCATTTCTAGCAGCTGATGCGATCACTTATTCCCAGAACTCAGAACCAAATATTAAAAGAGGTACTTCTTTAAAAATCTTGGGGTGCTTTTGAAATAATTATCTAAGCAAAAGCAAGGCTCAATGGCTGAAAACATAGGCATGAAACGGGCACCTTTTTTTGAATATATCGGCTGTTTAAAAGATTAGGCAGCAACACCACAAACCCAGCATTTCTTGAAAAGTTGATGTCAGAACTATATCCAAACTGCTGATATGAGATAGGATTCTAAAAGAGGGGACTGCACTGCCTTCTCAGCTTTCCACCTGCCTGTGCTTGTTCTCTCTGCTTCAGATGTAAGGCTCTGACTGCAGAAATGCAAAAGTCAAACTTCTGTGATTAAACCCCAATATCTAACACCAGAAAAATTTGAACTCTTGGATGCAGTGCTTACTGGATCCACAGCTCTTTTCTCTCTATGCAGCCTAATGCTTACATGTAAGTGCTACTGACAGGATTCAGCATATCAGAAATCCCAGGGCCAAGCACAGCTAAGCAAAGACATTACTGACACCTCTCTCAACCCTGCCCATGGCTAAATGGCTTTCAAGAAAAAAACAAAACCACAATACACCAATGATTATATGACCAGGAACTTTGCAAGAAAGCAAAGGACAATCACAGTTTTTTCAGTGAGTCTGATGGACAAGTCTATATGGAAGGGCTAATAAATAAATATTACAATTTACTCAAAAGTTACAACTTGCATATTTTAATCTGTTGAATTTGATCAATTAAAAATGTATTAAACTAAAACACACTATTACTGCCTGTAAAAGAGACTGTGGTTCACATTAGTTGTCAGAATACTGTTAGCTTAAATGCATTCTAGAAGTTAAATAGAATAGTTTTTAGACTCTTTTTTTTTTAACTAAGTAAAAGTACAAATGCCTTTGAAACTCTCTGATAGATACAAGATACTTTCAGAGTGAATTTGAGGTTCATATTACAAAAGTTTCCAAAGTTAAAACTCTATACATTTTGGCATGATGCCTCCACATACACAATCCTCTTTACAGTCTTTCAATATTGCAGATAAACTAATTTAGATAGTTTATCATCAATAGTAAATGTCTACCTTGACTTCAAAGACAGTTGAATAGAACAAAATAAAAATTAAAACAATTAAAATAGTAATTACACAACACTTTAGCCAAGAAGTTTTTGGCTTCTCTGATGACACTGACATCCCACAAACTCATTTTTCAGAAGTAAATAGCAGCTCCTCCCTCAGCTCCTTACCAACCTTGTTAAAAAGAAAGGCTCTTCCTGTGGCGCCGGTGAAACGAGTGGAGATGAGTTCGGAACGGTTGGTCAGAATCGTGTCGCAGTTTGCACAGGAGAACAGGCGAGTGCCACCGATATGATCCAGAAAAATTCTTCCCATTTTTAGAACTGATGTAAGTTTACACTCAAGACCTGAAAGCAAAAGGAAAGATCACGTACATGTAAAAAAAGGCACAGCAGGAAAAAAAAAAATACCCCCCCCCCCAACACCCTACATATGGCAGAATATTCTGCAAACCAATTCAGGTAACGATTGCAGGGGGTTCTTCTTTCACAGGTGAGTTACTAAACTCACAGTCGGCCTTCACCCTCTCTCAATTAAGACAAGTTCTTTCCCAAAGTGACCATCTTACAATAAGATGACCTACATACAAACTAATTACATTAATGGAGAAAAACATGAACCATGAATGGAAACCTTTAAAATATAGTTCAGACATTTACAGACCCTCTACTCGACCCTACAGTTCTTCAGAACCTTCTACTTCCTTTAGTATTAAAATTCCATTCCACTATATTCCCAACAACTTGCTCATCGTAGTGAGCACTGGGAAACGTAGCACTGAGAAGCACGGACATTGAGTCACCAATTATAGCTTAATTTTCCCATGTCACCCCCACGCCCTCCCCCCCTTTTAAAAATATATATTTATTTTGTCACTTCCTCTAAGCTTTGCATAATTTATGACACACAATCACACAACACCACCACCCAGAATGCTGGTATAGCAGCCTGTCTGCTGCACTTGACTTGACACTGGTTTCATACGCATACCAACATAGGAAAGGTTTGGATGCTATTTCACATAATAAACAATCCACCCAGTCTTTACACCAGACAGTATCATATACAAATATTTAAAACTGTCTAATCTAAATACAAAATTCTGTGTCATCCAAGATACTTTCAAAGCTTCATAATTAAAATACCCAAGCAACTCCAATGAGCCAAAAAGAAAAAAAAAAAGAGCTTAGGAAGTTTAGAGCATTAGAGCAGCACATCTGCGGTACTTGACAATTCAGCCTCTTCACTGCTCGGGAAAATTAAAGTGTCTCACCAACTTTATACCAACTAACATAAACTACTCATAGTTAACTAGTGAGTAGGCACAGCACATATCAGCTGAAAACTTAAATCACGAAGGATGATGTAACATGACAAACGAATTAAATGATGATGTTATTTCCCTTTCAACTGCAGAAGTTTTATGACTAAACACCTATAGTTAAACACGTTAAATGTAACTCCATTTATGCTTCAGATGTGGAATCAGAAAAGTGTATTGTCTCTGCTTTTGTCATACACAGAAACGCAAAGTAAATCTGACACACTGCATTATTAAAGTTGTGTGGGCTTTACTTTTCGGAGCAGCAGATACTGTGCTGTTCATAGAGAAATTAATCAAATTTTGTACTCATCAAGTTGAATATTCTAAGTCAAATGCCTTTAAGAAGTGCAAATACCTAAATTAAACTCATTTCAGGTCTTAAGGGATCAGTTTCTTAAAGTTTCCTCTGACATGCAAAAAGCAAATGGACTAAAATATGCACTTAAACACACAAAATTTAACACACTGTTTTTACACATAAAAATCAGAAGTCACTGACATAATGATTTTTTTCCAATTGCTTTATTTCACCACTTTGTTTTCGTACAATGTGCAGTAGCAAAAAGGGTTCCTAAATTGAACAGAGTGATTTTAGCACAGGTTCCTTACAAGCATATTTTTCAAGTCACTATTAATCTTCTGTATCCCATCTGAAGGATACATAAAAATTCAAAGCAATGGAATGATTCTTTCCTTTAAGGGTGATTTAATACCAATATCTCTTCTTCAAAAGATAAATAAAGCAGGTCTTGAGTCTGACAAAAATATTTCATAGACTCAGCTGAGTGTTAGAGGTGTGACTCCCTGTGACTCGGCTCAAAATACAGAAAGCATTTTCATTAGATTTCTCCAAGCATTGTACCTTTCCAATACTCCTTTATCTTTCCTAGCAAGCAAAGGCAAAAGAAAAAATTAAAATGTGAATGGTGACAGAATGAAGGAAAATCAACAGACAATAAGTGTGAATAAACAAGTATCAGTCAAAGTCTCCAGCCAGAAGAAACCACAAATACAAGCAATAAAGGCAATTGTAACAGATATGCCCATAAGGCACTTGGCCTAGCTCCATGTGCCATCCTTACTAATTTTGGATAATGTCGTATTTGTGCTGATTGTGTTGTGGATTAAAAACAATTAACTGATCATAAGTTACTGTAAATGTGGAATCAGCATCCAAAGGCATATTTCTTTCAGGGTAAACACAAAGCTTAGCCTGTCAGTATTTTCAGAAGCTAATGTAAAATAATTCCAAACCCACCCCTCTCGTACCAAGAGCAACGCAAACACTAAGCTGGGTGACCAGAACTGATCCATTACACAGACTGCCCTTGCACAGCATGCCATTTTGAAAAATGCATCTAAACACTTAAAATGCAAGTACATCACCTACCTAAAATCATACCTCATGTTACTGCACTTAGAAAAGCAGTAACCCAGAGACACTAAAAATTAAATACTTCAGAAGGGAGCACGAGCGTAATTCTTGCAAGCAAGTTAGGAGTCAAAGCAACAAACAAATGTATTACCTCTGGATATGGCACTATGCATGGACTGAAGTGTTGAGCCCTGAAGATACTGAACATTTAAATAAAAGCAAAAATATAATCGAAGATTTAAGGCTGAAAAACCTGCCTAGTAACACAAGGCCTAAAATCTTCAATTATTTATGTTACCCCAAAGAGCTAAAAGTTACCTCATCAAGTATATAAATGAGAAATAAACTTGCAATAACACATGGATCCCAACAGAAAGAAAAAGTTAGATGCATTTGATGGTAGCACAAGGCTGTGAGAATTCAGACTGAAGTCACAGCAGAACCTAACAAACCAACTGGTACCAACATTTCTTCAGAATACAGTGCATAAGAAAATGTGTATTCTTGAAAACAATATACATTTTAAAATTTAGAAAATTGCATTCTACCATCAGCATTATTACAGTCAAAACAATGTAGATTTTGCATATTTTTCTTAAGAAACTGTTAAAATACTGTAATCTTACTAGAATGTCTAACTTTTAAAAAATAACCTCTGCACTTAACTACCACCTGGTAGACTTCAGTCAACATATATAGCACTCTACAACTACCTCAGTCCTTAGTTTTGATTGCTACAGGATTTCAATGAATCCATAAGGGTCCAGTTGGAGTGCTGTAAAACTAGTCACCTTAAGTCTTTATGGTACTGCTCACAGTAGTAAAAAGGAGGAAAAATTACAAGATGACTGCTAGTCATTTGCAGCCTTCGAATGCCACACTTGATCACGAACTTTCTAAATAAGCTAGCATGGAAATTTTGCCTTTTCCTCTCCTACAATATCAAAAAGTTAATTTCAACTTGGAATCATTTCATGCTCTCCCCTCCCGTTTCCACCCCCCGCCCCCAGCTAAAAACATAACGTTCACTTATCCGATGAAATCGGAAGATACTTGCTGTGGATAAAGACTCTTCCCTCCTTATGTAAGGATCCTGAATCCTGTAGGGTATACTCACTGTGCACAGGAAAAAAACATAACAGCACAACAGAACAAGGGAAAGCAATTTTCCATTGCTCTCAGGCTCCTGTCCCTTACATACAGAAGTGGTGTGTATGAAGTCACCCAAGATAACTGTAATTTTTTTTCCTATAGTTTCACTACCCATGTAAAAGGTACAGGCGTCTATTTATGTTCACACATACAGAAATGATCTGAAAAAGCCACTTATAGGCAACTTCTATAGGCAGTGGGAGGGCTCTCTTAAATAAAGAGAAGCCAAAGAATTGTGAAACATTAAAGCATTTCTAAAGCTTAACATCCTCCAAATACGGGGAGGAAAATGCATTAAGTGCATTTACACATTCATCCACTCTCTACACTTAAAAACGGGGAAAATAACTTCCATTGAATCAGAGAGCTAAGTCAAGTCCTTTATTGCTGTTTACAGCCCCAGAAAGTGACCCTACTGTATCATGCCAATTCCATCATGCTACTAGCAGAATTTTCCGAAGCAGTGGACAGGAATCTTGGTTATTCACAAAACCAAATGTGGAAGAAAGAACAGATTTTTTTGGCCTATGATTTCATTTTTAAAATCAGCTAAGCATTCTTCATAGGGTGTGTATCAGTGATGAAGTTCTAATGATTCTGCCTTCATGCAAATTACCAAACACAAGTCATAATATTAAACACAAATTGTAATAGTAAATTAATGGCTGCAATGTAAAAAAGGAAGACTTACTTTCACTAATGGGATATATATCTATCACTTCTCAAATGTCCACAGTTCCAAGACACGTGTACTTTTGTGAACTGAGAGATGATGACACTGTGTCAATATTCAGCACCCAGACCACCACTATCAACCTGCATTCTTGAGAGGACCTTTAGGAGAACAATCAATGATAGCTCACATTACCTATCTAGTCAGGTTTGTTGACAGTGCATTATTTTGACAGTACATTATTCTGACAATACAAACCTTAACACTACTTGTTAATCATACTGTGAATCACTTCCTCCCTGCATGCCTCTCCCAGTGAGTGCATGGACAGACAGGAAACACAGGCACTGTGGCTGAGTGCTATAATATGTATTCCTAGAGCAGTAGCTCCCAAACTTCCACCTCTCAATGTTGATTTCAGCAACACTGAGCAACAGCTGTCAAAGAGCTGACATTCAACAGCTTAAATTTGGCTGCTGTCTGCACACAGACCTGAAACCACCTGAAGCACTACTTGGTTGGTATTTGTTCTACCTAATCTACCTACCTTCATAAGCAATGATGAACCAAAAAGTAACATGAAGAATTATTTATTAACATTTTTAAAACTAACAGTCAGTGTTTTCTCGTCCCGGAATGCATCTCTTGCCACAGGACCATCAACACTTGGGAGAGCCAGCAGGCACTTTCTATATACACACTGGAATGTGGATATTTCACAGGAGGAGCCTCAGTGTTGCTTCAGCACCATCTACTGCGTCTCAGATCTACAACAGAGAACAGCTTCTAGTTAAAGGACAAAAAACTATGACAGCCTGTCTTCCACCATTTCACCAACTAAAAACTTTTTCCTTTGTGATCAAATAAGCACTCTCTACCCCATGAAACAGGGTCGTGCATTTCCCTAGGCACAGTGAAACATTCTCAAGGTGTACTTACTCTGGAATCAGGCTGAAACTTCATCGTCGCATCTCAGGAACTGGGCTTAAGCTTCCTCTTCTCATCTCAGAGATGGACAAAAGAGGAAAAAGAGTTCTTAGCAGAGCTACATAAGGCCACACACTGAAGTATCATTGGGTAAGCAAAAAATAAAACTTGCTCCCTACCTTCCCAGGTTTCCGCTGCTCACAGGTGGGGGTGCATCTGAAAACACACACGTGGTCAGTCTCTTAGGAGGTCTGAGATTCAACTCTGCCACCAACTTCTGAGGTTCTCAAAGTTAGCAGGGCCTGGCCTCTGCCTACATGCAGAATTGAAACCACCACATGTAGCCAAACTCGAAGAGAGAAAGTGAGCTGGAACAGTATGCTGTGCTCATTAGAACCATCCAGCTACTGTAGCAAACTGTAAAAGGAATGTAATACAGTCCAATGACTGAAGAGGCTTTGGCAAAGCAATGAACAAGGTGCCTTGCAGGATGCAAGTGCAAGTTGCAGTAGTGTCATTTTGTATTGCAAGCTGCAGTTGTGTAATTTTCTATTGCAAAGTGGCTTTTTTTCTGGGTAAGGTGAACGCTGTGTTGGGATACTGGCATTTAAATACATTAACATTATATTGGTGCACACAAACATTAATAGAGGGCAGTTTGTTTCAATTTTACAAAGAGCAGAGCGACACAGATGGGTGCTTGTTTCTCATACAGACCCTATATCTCAGCATCTCCCACAGAGTAACTTACACCCTCACAAAACTCTTGCTAGATAACATAATAAAGTATTAGTTGACAAATGGCATCAGACTCAGATTAATTTTCTTTCCACTACACCGAGTCCAAATGCAGCAACTATTCCTGTTTCCATGTTTCTTTTCCCCTTTCTTCTTCCCCTTCCCTTCCTGTCTCCCTTTTCCCCTTCCAATTCTTCCACAGCTTTTAAGAAAGCTGTATTTCTTTGTTTTGTAATAAATTTATTGTTATACTAATTAGGCAGCTGAGACAACTTCCTAATCCATTCTGCAACTTTCAGAAAGCTAAACTAATTTCAATTTCCTGTTTTCACTGGTCTTAGCACTGGAATGATACAAAATTTCACCCAAAGATATTACTGGTTTCACGAGTCATTAAAAAAAAAAATCCAATAAACAACCTTTAAAGAAATAGTGTAAAGTCAACTATCATCCAGACTTTCAAACAAACTATGTACAAGTGGCAGAAAAGGTGCTAGTATGCTAAGTGCACCTCAATAAGAAATTTTTATATTAACAGAAAAAACTCCTAAACATAGGTAAAGCCTCCAAAACTAGAAAGAGCCTTGCTAACAAACAAACATCGACAATGCACAGGCATTTCACCTACCCATTTAACAAGGCATTTTTAAGTTAAATCTTGCTTAGGGAATTAGTATTTCAGCAAGAGCTGGGCAACTCAAGATTTCAACACAGGTCAAATGACAAACACGAACCAATGACTTAAGTTTGACAACACCACTTCAAGCTCGTGATGATTACCAGCAGAGAGAATGTTAAATACACATACATAAATACGTGTACACGTGTACAATTCTCAGTCTGAGACAAGTAACAAATCAGGCCTGTTCTTGTCATGTTCTCTACTGGGCTTCGAGGTACAGATTCTCTAGTCCTCACACACTTCCCAGCCCCACCTGAAACTCACTCATCATCATTATTAAAATCTATATATAAACAACAAGGTCTGCACCTCTAAGTCAAACGCTTCCACAACTACGGAAGTGAAAGTAACAGATGACAGAAGCCCCCGAATAGTATTTTTACAGACTAACATTAGAAAAAGAGAGCAGCACTTAAAAATAGACAGTTTTGTTTGTCACAAACATGACTTGAACTAAGCCATCCAGAATGACTCTATACATAAAAGCATTATATATATAGCAGCTATATTTAGTCACGTGAGGGAATGTTTACAACTACAGAGCAAGTTCCCTTCTTTTCTGCCATTAGTCACAAACATCAGTTATGTTAATGGTTAATCTACTGCCATTATTTGCTAACATCAACAGCTGCTCTGCGACACCTACCACTTTCGGAAGAGCCCTGCCCTGTGTTTCTCTCTCAGAAGACGTGTGTACTTGCTTCGTTGTTCCCTCAACCTAACCCTGACACCAAGTTTATTGTTTAAAGAAACTAAAAGCAAATAGTTTATTAAATTCTACGACTGTATCAGTCCAAAGGACGGCCTTTATTCTTAAATAAACACGCTGGATTAATCTAATCTGTATCTGCTTGCACAGTAGAGCTAAGGGCTGTGCACAGAGTAACAAATGAACTAGACAGACAACAGTCTTCGCCTTCGTTTTTGCTTGGACTTAGAACCTTTCTGAGAGGTTTTCCAGGGCGGAAAAGCCCTTGCAAAATATTTCAGCTCCCTGGGAATCCATACTTCCACGGGGAAAAAAAACAACCCAGCGCTGACAGGCGAAGCCGCCTCACTGCTAGGCGAGTCGCGAGCACCTCCATAAAGCAAACCATCACCACCACCGCTGGATTCCTGACAGCTTCCCGCGGGAATCCCCTGTCCAGCGGGGACACGGGGAGCGGCCGAGCCGGCAGCAGCTTCTCACGGGGAGGGGAGCGACGCGTGAGGCGGCGCCGCCACCCCCCGTGCGGCCGAGCAGGGCGGTTCAACCCCCGCGTAACCCTCCCCTACCCCCGGCCGGGGCCCGGTGCGGCGCTTTGCGGGGGGGTGTCGGTGCGGATCCCGAACCCGGTCCGGGTCTCGATCCCGGTGCCGGTGCCGCGCACACACAAAGCCGCGCGGGGGCGGTCCCGGGCCCGGCCGTCACGGGGGCGCGCGCAGCCAACCGGGGCCGTCCCGGCCCGTCCCCCCCCGGCAGCGCAGGAGCCCTGACAACAAACAGCAGGAAACAGCTGACGGGGAGGCACCGCCGCCGCCTCCGCCGCGCCGAGGGGCCGTGCCCGGGCCCGCAGCCGCCCTCCCCCCCCCCGCACCGAGCCGCCCCACCGCCCCCTCTTCCCGCACCGGGCCCGGGCACGGTCCCTCGCCCACCCGCTGGGGGCTCCGCGCAAGAACCGGCCCGAAAAGTTGCCCGGCGCGGGGCCGGGGGAGGAAGTTGTGTCGGCGGCGGCGGGGAGGGGGTGTTCGGTGCCGGCCGCCGCCGGGAAGGCTGGGCGGCGCTGGGAAGCACTGACGGAGGAGGGGACGCGGTGGGGGAAGGCCGGTGCTTTGTGGCGGCGCCGGCGCGCAGCGGGGCCGGCAGGGCCGGCCGCTGCCCCTCTCCGCGCCGCCGAACTGGACCAGAGCGGCTCGCCCGGGGGCTCCGCCGCGGCCCGACAGACACAGCGCCGCGGTGCACAGCGGCGACCGCCACCTCCCTCCCCAGCCGCCCCGGCCTCCCCGGGCGGCGCGGGGCGGGAGCGGCCTCCGCCGGGTTACCTGGCGCCGGAGAGCGGCGGCGGCGGCGGCAGCAGCTCCGTGCCCGGTGTCTCCCCCGCCCTCCACGGCCCCGCCGCTCCGGATCGGCCGCGCGGCTCCGCCCCGCCGTGGCCCCGCCCCGCCGCCTGTCAATCAGCACCGCCGAGGCCCCGCCCCCGCCGTTGCCACGCCCCCGCACCCGTCAATCAGCGCGGCGGAGGCTCCGCCCCCCCGCCTCGCGCCCCGCCCCGGGTTCGCCTCAGGGCTGCGACCGGCGGGACGCGGCGGGTCAGGGAATCGTGGAATCACAGAATCATAGAATCACCAAGGTTGGAAGAGAGCTTTTAAGATCATCCAGTCCAACCGTCCACCCAGCGCCGCCACTGTAAACCCCTGAATCACTAAACCACATCACACAGAGCCAGATCCAGACACCGCTTAAGCACCTCCAGGGATGGTGACTCCAACCACCCTGGGCAACCTATTCCAGTGCCTGACCACCCTGACAGTGTTTTTTTTTTTCTAATAACTAATCTGAATCTCCCCTGCCTCAGCTTAAAGCCATTTCCTCTGGTCCTCTCACTGCAGGCACGGCAGAAGAGACCGGCCCCCACCTCACCACACCCTCCATTCACGTGGTTGTAGAGAGCGATGAGGTCCCCCTTCAGCCTCCTCTTCTCCAGACTAAACAAACCCAGCTCCCTCAGCCATTCCTCATAAGCCATGTTTTCTACACCCTTCACAAGCCTTGTTGCCCAGGGATTTGGCCTGCCCTGGCAATGAGCTTCCCCACGCTATGGGGCCCAGGAGGAGTTTGAGGTGGGGATGTCAGCCACATCCCCACCTCAGTGAAGGTGTGACTCATGCTGATTGCAGAGTTTCAGGATATTCAAGTTGAAGTCTTTGCTGGATGCCTCAAACACTGCCCACGGTGGAGAATGAAAGATCAGAGAAGAATGAGGGAAAGGGTTTGTGGCCCTTTTTGGTCATTGATTGCTAGAGCTATCAGTTCCCTGCCAGTTTTAATGGTTCAGTGCTTACACACAGATTGCCTTCTTGACAAACAAAGTGGTCTTGGCCAAAACAAAAAGTCCTTTTCAGTTGTTAGTTATGAAAAAGAGGTGGGAAAAGCTGTCGTTTTCCTTCTATGAGGCAAGCCGTGCTGTTTTAAGGATTTCTGTTCTAATACCATGTTAAAGTATTTTTCATGTAGGGCGATTCCTGGGTCTATCCATGTGGTATCACCAGAGGAGCTGCAGTAATGGCAGGAAAGAACAAGCTGGCAGGACTCTTCTGTCATTTCACACAGAGGCAAAGGGGCATTTCTGTGTATGTATAGCACGCAGGACATGCTTCTATGCCCAGTTGCTGTTCTTCAGCTGGTGTCTTCTTGCATGGATTCTTTTACTGTTAGAAATAGCCAGGCAGAGGGGTACACAACTGCCTGCATGACAGTAGGCAGTCAGTGATGGGTCAACATCGACATGTTAACAACTGCTGTTTGCTTTGAGTAGATCTCCAGAAAATCAGAACCCTTCAGTATGGTCAGCTGTGGCCTGATCCTGCATAGAGCTGAGCACTGACATTGCTCTCTGACCTGTCGTCAACCTCTCTTTAGATCATGCAAGGGGAGTGAAAGGCGTTGGAGCACCCTCAGACAGCAATCACCACTTAGGTAATGGCATGGGGACAACAGATGTACTAAGGATATTAGAAGAAAGCCATAAAGACCATGCCTGGGGTCCCATTTACCACCAGCAAATGGAGGAAATAACTGGTCTGAGGTGCCCTGTTTGTTAATAGATTGACCTCATCTGCTGCTGTGCCTCAATGAGTAACTATGAGCTGTGTTCCCACTGTGGATCTGCTCCGTCTCATCACAGGACCTATATGAAGGTTCACGTCTTATTCATCTCTGCAAAGCTCCTCTAGAGATCACCGTAAACAAAGCCAAAATAGAGCAAAAAGAGAGTCAAAGCAGTGGTTCTTTGGTCAGTGCTGGTGACTGGGTTTCATGTTCACTGCTCAGCTCTGCTGCTGAGGCATCCGTACATCCCAGGGCAAGACAGTTCTTTCTGCCTCATTTTCCCTCTGTAAAATGGGAAGAGCGATGCTCCCCACCTTACTGGGAGGTTGTGTGTATGCTTAAGTACTGTTCTCCAGTCTGGGCATATGGAGGGCATGTATGCCTGAACATTGCAATCGTCATAATAATATTACCATGAAAATAAAGCAAAGCCCAAACCTATGAATAGAATTAAATTCTCAGCAATAAGAAGGGTAGCTGTACCAGTCAGAAAGAAACCAAATTGACCATGAGACAAGCAGAGAATGGATTAGCCTGTGCTTGACAGATGGTGCCAGGGACTGATGTTTTTATCTCCCTCACAGAGGAGCTTAGAGGAAGGGAGGCAGGGAAGGGTGAGGTAGAGTATGTTTAATAGAACAAAGCATCAGGCTGTAGCAGCTCTGCTGAGAAACACCAAAAATACCAAAAGCAATTTCCAATTAGCTTGTACGGGGCATGCTACATATCAGCTACAGGGTGAAAAACAGGAACAGCAATATTGTACCACATGGCACTTTTAATTTTCAAAGCAGCCTGAAAACATTAATTAATCCTCCTCTGACATTGGGAAATGCAGTGCAGTCAGCAGTTTGTTCCTTTACTTCTCGTGCCAGGTTTTGGGAAGACCTTGGGCCTTTTCCACAGCTGATTCATATCACAATTGCTCAGATTACTCTGGAGGAGCCAGTCCTCTGTGCAGCACTATTGAGCAGAAAAGGCTGTGTTAGATCTGGAACTTAATGAATCAGAGAAAGGGGCCATGCCCAACGGCCTTAGTAAGACCCACCTTTAATATTTGTCCCGTCTAAATCCATTTGTAACTGCTGTGAGCAACACTATAGCACGCATTTCAGAGAAAATGGTGTGACTGAGGAATTAATCACAATCTCAGACAGAACTGTGCAGTGAAACTCAAGCATCAACATTTTGATCTAATTAAAACCTGTGACAAAACTTAGTGGAATTCAGAGGGAAAGGAGTACATCCCATTAAATTAGTGTCAGGGCTTGGGGGCTGCTTGTGCACCTTTTCTGTCTTTAAAAAGAAAATGTTACAGCTTAGTGCTTCATCTCCAGAACCAGTAATAATTTTTCAGAACACTTGCAGATTCCCGTGTGGTGAAGTCGAGCCTACCAAACCAGGCATGCCTGAGGTGGGACAGTGATGTAGCGGGATTTTCCATTGCTCTTTCGCCCTTGCACAAGATTTCTGGCAGCAGAGAGGAGACAGCTGAAACACAGAGCCAGACTTACAGGCTGTGATCTCTCTGAGAGACAGTGTGACTCCTAGCTGCACCCTCTATGCCTTCTCAGCTTTGCCTTGCATCAAAGGCTGGGTTCATCCCATGAGTTGCTCTTGTTTTCTGGCAGTAGCTACTGATAGCCTGTGTTTTGCAGAGGAGATGGTACAGCCTGCAGCATCATTCTCATACAGTAAGCCTACTGACACAAACACAAAATGTAATTACCTTTCATTTGCCATCACAAGCTGACACCTATTGCTTTTGCCTCACCTGAAAGCCGACATGGGCACAAGTGCCATTTACAGATACTTTGTCAGATGGCTGCATTTTTGTCAGGGGAAACTATTTGTACAGGTAATCTCAATATCAAAAAATGAAGATCAGCGACAAAGCAGTCCCTCCACACACTCTCCATACTGGGCAGAGCTGGTCTCATTACCCTGTCACAATACCTAGCAGCTGTTGGTCAGATTTTAAAAGGTGTTTAAGTGTAAAACCCCAAAGCACTCAGGAGCCATATCAGAGAAAGTACTTAATGTCCAAAGAGGGACTTAGAATTTATGTGCCATTATTAAGACATCAGGAATGGAGCCAATAAGCAGGCCTGATGCCAGGGAATGCATAACGCTCTCCTGCAGAAACGAGGAGTCATCGTTGTGCACACAGCAGTTCAGGGAGGCTGGCAGACGGATACGGATCGCCCTGAAGCCAGTCACTATTGCATGGCGGGGCTCACTGCCATTCCCTAGCAAGGAAAGCAAGGTTGCTAAGTAGGATGGACGGTGATACAAACATATCAATGGTGGGGCGGTAATTTTGCAGGGTTTTTGCATTGCTAAGCCTTCTTTACTTGGTCTTCCATGGTGGAGAACAGTTACTGAAATAAAGAGAACTTTCAGGTTGTAGACTACAAATCCTGTCTCACAAATCCTGTCCAGTGGCAATGCTCTTCAAGATCACATGTGTTACCACTCTTTCATTTGGGGGAGATTTTGCCAGGTGTCCAACTCATGGATGACAGCCATCTGATTATGCTGCTTCCTCCACACAAAGGCTTGGTCTGATGCACACATATGTGAGTGGAGAAAGATGCCACGGGGTGGTGCTCCATTGACCCAGTGATGCGGTGAGCCAGCTGCCAACTCCCCTGTATTTTACAGGAGGTGATTTCAAGTGAGCTTTTATCCCCAGCTGAGGAGGATAAAAGCTGGAACCATTCCCTTGCATAGAAAAACATCACAACAGCTGTCTACCAGGAGACGAGATAAACATTTCAAGGGAGAGCAGCTACTTCAACACACGTGGACTTCATCAAACAGTCCGGGCTGTTGCTATTGTTTGTGAGCGCTGGATGCGAACAAAGACAGATTGGGCTAGAAAGGGCCCCACGCAGAGACATTCAGAGCCCATACAGAACAGCACACTTTAATGGCTACACTGGATCACCGTTTTTTGATATAATCAGAGGAATCTACTAACCTGGGAATATATGCAAATGTATACACAGTCGAGGCCCAGATGAATTCCCATAACTGTTTCTTTTTGGTTGCACTTAAGGAACTGGTCCATTACAATTGTCACTTCACAGACAGGAGAGCGAGGAAAAATCTTTGTAGCATTTGTAGCACTGTCAGTCTTTTCCATTTGCTGTTCCTAAGAGATCTGGGTGGAGTTTCCCAGCAATAGTCAACATAGCCTTTCCTCGAAGGTCTTGAAGCTGATTCAATATTGCTTTCAGTCTTTTAACAGTACCACCCCCTGCCCAGGAGGCACATTGTTGGTGTCAAAGGTGATCCT